TGGGTTCCGGGTTCTGGGTTCTGGGTTCTGGGTTCTGGGCTCTTGGGTGTGGTTCATAAATGCTGCCAAATGTGTGGCTGGAACCCCTTTTGTGTTTTTATTCTGAGCTGTCACATCAGATTGATATTTTGTCATGTTTTGCTTTCTCCACGTTAACTGTTCTTCACACCAGCGCATCCTGTTGAACTGAAATCAAAGCTTTGGCCTGCCATGTTGAAAGCATTACCTTAATCATCCTTTGGTGGATGACTTGTTCTGACAGTTGTTCTTTCATCATATTAGTGCACTTTCTCCTGAGGATCAGGTCTGTTAACAGCTTCCACTCACATGCAGGCTGTGATTAAGCTTTCTTTAAGGTGTCTGGATAGTTCCTGTTTACCAGGGAATACACAGAATGTCTTTGGACCATTTCAAATCTAGTTTGAAGTGCGAGCACAGAGGTCCTGCTAGAAACTGTTTACATAAACCAGACAACCTTCTGATTAGAGCTGGGCAATAAATTGAAAATGTATCTTTATCAAAATTTCAGATTCTTATCGAGAAACTGTTTCCAATGTCAATAAATTAGATTTTAAAAATTTTGAAGATGTGTGTAGGTTGGCAACATTCATGTCTCTTTAAGAAGTTGTACCACCTTGAGTCATGTAAAATGTGACAGCCCCATCTAGTGGACAACTTTTGTTTCGGCACATACCCGTATTTATCGCCAGTTTATCGTTATCGAGGTGAAATCCTCAAAATATCGTGATATTGATTTTAGGCCATATCTCCCGGCCCTACTTCTGACACATAAATAGAGACACGCATAAACACATCTCATGCTGTGACCAGTAATGTACATTTTGAGTTGGCAGGTCTCAAAAGCCCCTAAAGACCACATGATCACCTCTGATCATGTGCTCTTTAACAGGGAAGACACCATTTTTGGTAAAACTGATAGGTAATTTTAGATGTATCCCATATTACCTTAAAGGACGACACAGAGAGAGAGAGAGAGAGATTATTTGTAATGTCCATGTGGGCGAATCAACATGCGAGAAGCTGGACTCAACCAACCAGCCCCCACTACACCAGCTCTGCATACCCGTGGTCTCCATCAGGAGACCAGAATGTTAGGTAATATTTAATCTCCATAACCCTGGAACCTGAAATAACACACATGACAACAAGGAAGACATTTTACCCTGAGTCCCCAAAATATGGAGAGTTAACACAAAGGAACCTCCTCCGAGGCTTTTCCCCCGTCACTCCCATGTGCTCCCAGTTCGTCAGGGGCTTTATTCACAAAGGATGGAGGAGAAGGCGGGCCTTCTCAGGTTACAGAGGTACAGAGGTTTCCTTGGAAATCTACAATCAACATCCTGGAAATCCACAATCAACATCCTTGACTGCAAACAAGCTTCTCTGTTCAACCTTTCACAAACAGCCACAGTTGGCAAACACAGAGATTCATGAAGTGTTAACACAAAATGGGCATCTTGGTTTTACACTTTTGTTGAATTTGAAGAAGTGGGGGGACCAACTTCACTCAGGTATCTTTTAGGCCTCAAAAAGGTACAATTATAAAAATACCCAACAAAACCAATGAATTTGACAGGAAATATGTCCTGAGACATTCATCACGTTGAAAAAATTTTTCACTTGACTTAACATATTTTCCTTCTTTAACACAAAGTCCTGAAATACTTGAGAATTCCCAGTGTCCCTGGTTTGAATCCTAGGAATTTGATGGACAGTTGAACATTTTGCTTACAATTTGTGAGTCCAGCTTTGTTTGAGGTATTTGTTGGGAGCATCCGGAACAATTTTCAATAAGGTTTTGGTTATTTGGCTTTGGCTCAGGAGGTAGAGTGGGTTGACCAGGTTGCTAGTTTGATCCCATCTCCTTCCTAGTCATTTTGCTGTTGAGTCCTTGGGTAAAACCCTGTACCCGTCTTGGTGCCTTGCCTCTGTGCAAGTTGATTTGGATAAAAGCGTCTGTCAAATGCTCAAACACAGTCAGAAACTGTGACGATGTAAACCAACTTTGTAAGGATTTGATGAGCAAAATGAAATGCTAATGAACTGGGACATAATGAAGATGTGGGATTAAGTTGTGACAGGATTATATACATGGCTGCCATGACTTGTTTGCCTCTATCCCATATGTTCTAAATGACCAGACCAATTACAAAGTCTCTCACAAATGCATCACACGTTTCACTGAGTCCAGATGAAAACGTGACTGCGGCTACAAACCAGATCCTGCAACTGGAAGCAGTCCGTGTTCCTGATCATTGCTTTAGTCCCGCTGTAGCACCGATTGTACCAGTCTCACACGTCATGTGCTCAGGTGTTACCACCCAGCTTTTCTAGTGTCGTGTTTGAAATCATTTACATACTCTTACTAGCTTATGAGTAATGCTAATAAAAAGCACGTAATCATACAAGCCAAATGGGAAAAAGTAGAATATGATGCAAAATTTCATTTGTTTCCATAATTCAACTTAAGCCGAGAGACCGTTTACAGCACAGATGTCAGAGTCAAGGCCCGCGGGCCAGATGCGGCCCGCGAAGCATTTTTATGTGGCCCGCGAGATAAATATCAAAAATATATTAAAACTGGCCCGCTGGCCGTTTTTACCGCAAATACTTCAACTCCCATGATGCTTTGCGGCGTCAGCGCGGAGCCGACGAAGCCCCCTCCTTTGTGTTTTTCCAGCGCCTGCTGCCGGGTGTCTGCAGCTCCGCTGTCTCGGACCAACTAAACACTCCTCTCACTCAGCGCCGAGTTCACTCAGCTGTTTTCTGACGTTGAAGCCCAGAAACGGAGATTCTAGCCGCTCAGTAATGTGTTCACGACTGAAAGAGAAAGTTTTCCAACTAACGTCCAGACAGAGCTGGTATAACTCCAGCGAGCAGCGACACGCTCAAACCAGCACGACTCTGTCGTTGTGTTTCCTCCCCGACACACAACAACGTTGTCAAGCTGCTCAGACATGTTCATCAGCACAAAGCTATGTGAGCACCTGTTGTCATCTAATGTTGTCATTATTATGATGAAGATGAACAAAACAACAGGAGTCTCCTCCTCAGCTCAGATCAACCCCATGATGCAGGTATCTGGCTGGAACAGGTGAGCATCACAGTAAACCAGTGGAGCAAACTGAGCTTTAAATATGTTGGTTTTATGCTCTTTTTCTGCTCCAAAACATGAAAGTTAACAGGTGAGATGTTGCATTTTAATTTAAGATAAAATAATACTTTTATTTTGTTGTTGGCCCGTGAGAAAAGATTTAACCTACAGTAAACAGGAAGTGGAAAGGCTGCAGATAGATGAATAGAATAGAAAATCCCTTTATTGTTCCTCAGTGGGGAAAGCTAGACGTCACAGCAGCGATGACACGTATTACAGGAGGAAAAAAGGAGAATAAAAAATAAGAAAAATGAATAAACAAGAAAACATAAATCCTGAATAGATTTTAAAAATGCTGATTATACCACAAGTAATGAATACCACTGATGCCTTTTATTTAAAACTGACTTGCTCGTGTGTCATTTGGTTATTCCACATTCAGTGTTAATGCAGAAATAAGTTTGTTTCCAAATTTAAAGGTTCAAAATTGCATTAATGTTGATAAAGAAAATGTGCAAATTTGCCGTCACTTTTTCAAAAAATATTAAGTTTGGCCCTCGACTCCGTCCCAGAGTTTCATTTCGGCCCCGTGTGAGTTTGAGTTTGACACCCCTGGTTTACAGGCTCGGGAACCCTTCGGAGGCGTTTTCCATTTGCAGCTATAAATGTACAGTACAGGCCAAAAGTTAGGACACACCTTCTCATTCAAGGTGTTGTCTTTATTTTCATGACCATTTACAGTAGTAGATTCTCATTGAAGGCATCAACACTAAGAATGAACACATGGAGTCATGTACATGACCAAATAAGGTGAAATAACAGAAAACACGTTTTATATTCTATTTTCTTATAAAACAACCACCCTTTGCTCTGATTACTGCTTTACACACTCTCAATGAGCTTCAAGAGGTGGTCATCTGAAACGGTTTCCAACAGTCTTGAAGGAGTTCCCAGAGGTGTTTAGCACGTGTTGGCCCTTTTGTAAATGGCCATGAAGATAAAGAAAACACCTTGAGGGAGAGGGCGTGTCCAAACCGTTGGCCTGTACTGTGTGTTGACTGGGGTCTTGTTAAATATCCCACAGTGACATTTGATTAGTTTAGTATCGTGAGTGCATTTTTGACCAAACTGTTTTACTTATGTTTACAGTGTTTTGAACCATTTCTCCAAAAGCAACGTATGTTTCATGTCCTTTTTTTTACAATCTGTAAAAAATTTAATAAAATTTACACAAAATGCAGTCAAAAATGTTCTATTTTTAAAGAGAACAGAGTTTCTCGTTTGATAACGTCAAACCTCAGAGGGTCAGATTACAGAAATGTTTATTCTGATGACAGCCGAGGGGTTAAAATCCTGCAACGTGGTTAAGAAACAGATTTTTCCTGATAGTTCTACTTCAGGATATGTTTTATGTTAATCGGGACATCTGGTGAGAAATAAACAATGAAATCACTAAAGTTCCCCTCGTGTGAAGTTTGAATGGCGACTGAGGAAAGGAGGTGAGAAGTGCAGTTGAAAGGAAGCAGCGGTACAAATGAAGACTTGAACATCTGAAAATAGAGAGAGTGGAGTTTCCTAGTGAAGCGGTGATTCCCCCCCTCCTGTGGTTCTGCCACTAATGAGAACATCTGCATCTGTGAACCATGCAGAGTGTGAGCGATGGCCAAAAGGAAAACATATGGTAAAAGAAAAAATGACTAGACTTAAAGACAGCGAGTGCTAACGTGCTGCAGAAAGTCCTGCAGGAACACAACACTGAATGTGGCTCAAAAGGAATGAGGAAGATGTTTTATCTCACCTCCCCTGCATCTGGCAGTCATGCTGTTGCTTCCACTAGAACTGCTCTCCTGTAATGTTGTGCCTTCTGGTTTTTTCTCTTCACAAGGTGCCAATGTCCAGCTCAGTTTGAGGGACCAGAGTGCCAGCAGAACAAGCACAGTTTCCATGGCAACGGCTATGCCTGGTTTCCTCCCATGACGCCGTGTTTTGACAGCCATGTGTCACTGGAGTTCATCACGGATGTAGCCGATGGACTGCTGCTGTACAGCGGGCCGCTGGCCCAGCTGCAAACCTGGGACCACGAGGACTTCATGGCCATGG